GTGTGGTTTCCTTTCATGTTCTCCCCCTCTGTGCCATCTTTCTTTGTTAAGTTTGCCGAGAGTGTCTTTGAACCATAGGCATTTTTTCTCAGCGGTGTTCATGAGCCCTGCCAGATCTGTCATCTTCTTTCTCCCTCTATAGCTCCTATACTGTCAATAAACACACTCACACACATAAATGTATACACATCCAGGCTCCTGTTGTTCTCGCTCTCCACTCTTTCGATCATTCCTGCAGCTGCCTTTATGGCATCATTGGGAAAACTTGCATGGTTGTGAACACACAAACACATGCACTCAAGTGTGAGAATGTCCTCATACAAAGGCGTCAGCCCTCCTGATGTTGTGCTGTTTTTAAAATGATCAGAGCTCTTAGCTGTGTGGATTAGGAAGGTGGCAGATTAGAGTCGGCTGCTAAGTCACCATGAAGAAACTTTGCTTCCAGCTGACACCACCCTTTTCACATCCTTCTAACCGCACAATCTCCCGCCTTCCTGTGACTCCTCATGGGGACAAATGCTGCTTGCGATACTGTTTCTTTACATGTGACATTTTAAACTGACTGTTGCAATGCTGTAATAGTATAAAATAGTATTAAAAAAACATGTCCATGACCTATTTGCCAAACTATGATTGGTCAGCTTGTAAGAGAGTTTGAAGTTTGACTGAATGTTAAAAAAGTTTGCCAGCTATCAATACACCCCATTTCACACGCAACATCCAAAGAAAAAAACATAAAAAAAGAAAAAAGAAAACACTTGAGTTAAGTCTGCTTACAAAGAAGCATGTTTGAGGAAGAGCAGGAGCTGCCATACTTTGGTCCCTTAGAGGAAGTGCACCGCTGCCCCTCTTGTATGCAGGGGGAGTGTCTGTTTGCACAGGTCTCAGTCAGTTAACACTAATCTGCCTGATCTCCACCTCAAAGTCATTCACTCCTCCACATGCAAATAAACATATTCAGTCCTCTTTCAAACCAACGCCTCTATCAAACACTTGTTTGATCACCAGAGGGGCTCTGAGGCAGTTAATTATGCATTTTGGAAAAAAAGAGAAAATGAGAGAACACATTGTTGCCAGGGTTTTATGTAATTACTCTCACCTTTAGTGGTGGCTGTGAATAATTGTCCCTCCACAGCCAAATGAGGAGTGTGTTTGTGTGTGCATACTTCTGTGTCTGTCAGCTATTAGTGGGGCTGCATGTGCATGTAGACTTTATTCTTTGACCTAGTTCATTTCCTTCAAATGTCAATTCAAAGCATTAAACCCACCTCAAATCCCACTACAATGATCCACAGAACTCTGTGTTTAGGAAAAGAAAAACTTAAGACACGATAAGAACACTTTCTTAATATCATAAGACCACTCGAATAGGAAACTAGCAGAGAGCAGTTCTTGTCCAGTAAAGATGTTTTTTTTTTCATGATTCTCTTTCTCAGAGTTGCATCTTCAACAGGAAAACAAGGTTGTTCCAGTCACTGTGATTCACCAACTAATTCCTTCCATGACACAGACGAGTCAGACCTTCCAAAAGGAAGTAGATTTACACATACGGCAGCGACCGAACAAGAGAAAGACGCTGCCAAATTCAAACAGGAGAAAGCAAATTAGGAGCGTATATGTTTAAGGAAGCCCACCCACCCCTGAACACTAGCCCCATTGCTTTTGTGTGTAGATGGTGTTTGTGTGTGTGTGTGTGTATGCATCATGTATGAGTCTGTGACACTGAGATGATAAGTACTGCCTTCTAACCAGACAAGCCTGAACTAGTAAACAGGTGCTGCAGGAGCAGCTGAGGATGAGGACATGGGGCGTCTCCTCAAAGCCTGATCAAAGAGAAGTTGCCTCAGCCGCCAGTCATCCCAGGAACTTGATTTATGCCACTGTGACAGAGACTTTTATGATGGCTTGCAAAAGCAGCAGATAAATCACAAAAAGGTACACAAGTTCCTCCACATCCCTGCATACAACCATTGAGACACAAAAGAGGGCGTAGTCGCTCACTGCCACTGAAGTAAACTATTGACTGGCAATGTTGTTTCTTTACCACTTTCTCTTTGAGCCCGAATCCGCCTTTTGACATGTGGATTTTGAGGTGGCGTAATATCTCTGTCGTTTCAAATTTTATGTCTGGAATATTGCTCTGCTCCGCAAAGACACTTAACATCAGCTCAATTACAACATGTTAGAGCTGAAGATCCTGGCTTGCTGGAAAATCAGTCAGAGCAATTTAAATCAAGTCACTATCAAAGGTTTGATACCGTTTCAACAATGCTGATCACAAGAAAAAGCTCCTTTTTGTTAAAACATCATAAGCCAGTGCAGACTGCTTATCATCCGGGTAGCATGGTAGGAAGAATCAGAGGCAGGAGTTGGAATCTGCAGTTTTTACCTTGGTGGAATTTTGAAAGCTGCGGGTCTGTGATTAATCAGTTTACAGTCACATGACTGTAATGGGATTCCCCACTCAGTCATATAAAATATGCCCTTAAAAGGAGTTTTTTCCCAAGGGGAACTGACATGCTTATTGTCTAACTCGGCTAAAAGTCTATCTGAGCTTGATGTACTGGAATAAGAAGTGTTAGATACTAATAAAAGCTTGAATACAGTTTGCTGTATATTTCCCCCCAAAGTTCTCACCAGCCATACTTTGCCCTTGCTCAGAGGAGTATTTTTTTTCTTTGATGCAAGGAGAATAAGAGAAGTCCTGGAGGGGGGTGGTAACTGTCATTTATATTTACAGCCTCTCCAGACACCTCCGGGGCTGTTATCCAGGTGGCCTCTGTTGAGGCTCTCAGAAGCACTCACACCTTTTCTGCAACTCAAGTATCAATAGACACTGGCTGACTTTGATTCAGCCACATAGAGGTTGTGAGTCATGTGCTTTTTACTGTTGAAACTGGTTGGGTTGACGCTCGAACTTGAATACCCTCAGGGATAAAGGAATAATACTCTTCAGAAACTTTACTAAACCAGAGAGAAGCCTCTAACAGAGCTTTTAAACGGATCTTTTTTCTTTGAGTACAGTCAGGGAAACCAGATCCTTTGAATTATAGAAGGCCAAAAGAATAACATTACGTCCGTTTTATGTATTTAACATTTGGTTAACACCCCCACGTGTATTTGACCCCTAAATGTTTGACGTGTGTCTTGAGTCACCAGGTCTGATCTGAGCAGTGATTGAAGACAAAAGTCAGTTGTTGTTACTTGGATTCATGACCAGACTTGTGGACCTTTTTGTATACTTCTTAAAATATCTTAATTGAGCACCAAACACTAAACTTCTCCCGATACCTGTTATGTGTTCAGTTTGCTTAGATTTTTTAGTCCTTTCATATAATAAATAACCATTTTATACTAAGACCAGCCTGTCTTTAATAATGTCTCTTTTGCCAGCTGATATGATGAGAAAAGATAACAGATATTCAGTTTTCTTTTAGCAGTGATTCTCTTTTTGAAGTTAAACCCTTCAAACAGTCTAATCTTGTCCTAAATGAGAGCTGGATTATTGTATAACCCCCTTCATTGATACGCAGCAACACATCCAACACAGCCAGACAGAGAGAGAAGGGTGAGAAGAACAGTAAAGGCTGATATAAGTATTAAATGTGGCTGGGGTGAGGGAATGTATGAGGATACGACTTTGGTGGAAATAAATTCAAAACAAATAATGGCAATCAAAATTCTGATCCAAGCCGCAGAAAACATTTGGTCAATTAACATGAGCAATTAGTCGACTAACTGCCCACATTCCCCGTTAATAACCTCACAATTTTCACAGCTTTGCGTCTTGAAAGAATCATCAGTTAATCTTACATATTAACTGCATTTCTATGAAAGTTTTCATTTGCATTGACATTGAACCTCAAAGTTTTTTGTGTTGTTTTACTTTTATGCAGCAGAGGAATGAACACAGAAGTGCAATTCATACACATTTAAAGAAAAGAGAAGCAGTATTTATACTTACTGCTTTACTGTCTTTGGGATCATATCTTATTTTAGAAAAAAATAAACTATAGAGATTCCACTGTTCCAAGAGCCACAAATGACATCCTTATCCTGCTGAGGAACATGTTATGCACCACTTAGAACGTTTATCTGAACCATTTTAGACATTTTTTTCATATGGGAGTTCTTTAAAAAATGATTAGAACGGAATATTATAACGACATATTAAAATGATAGTGAGGGTGAGAGGCACTAGTGTTGACTGTATGAAAACACAAGTTTTACTAGAATTTATAATAAATGAATGGTCACACAAACAGATGAGATCACCGTCATAGAAAAAGATTACAGTTTTGCAAACATTTAAAACTAGAACGTTTTATTATATTTTTCTATAAAATCTCAACTTTTTTAGAAATATATACAAATGTCCCCTTGAGCTATTAAACAGCAAAGAACAAGAAAAACAGAAAAGTGTGTGTACAAATAACTTTTCAATATTGAGTGCTAGATTAATTTATGGCATGGATTTGCCTCACAATGAACACTTCGTAAGGTCTTGGGTGCCTTTCAGCGGCTGCTTTCAGTTCAGTTCAAACATATATGACACTGGCTCAATTTCCATGAAAAAGCCTGGAAACAACACTCATCTCTCTGACCATTTGCCTCTATTGTCTGTGAGGTCTTTCCATTGTCCGTAATCTGTCACCAACAGTACAAGTGTCTCTTAGGCAGGAAGGAAAACATCTATTGCACATTATTCAAGTAACGCCGTGGCACATCTAAATGGTTTACTCCACTCTTTTTGTCCTGGGAACAATACATTTTTTTTCCAGTCCAAGTTCCTCAATAGGAGTAGATTTTTTTCAAACAAAAGGCTGCTCTTGATGCACAACATGGGTGAATATACAAAAAATAGAAAAAAAGCCCATGTTGTATATTGTTCAATGCATTTTTGCATGAATATTACATGAAATTTGATTCTATTGATGGCTCTCTGATCATCAAAAACCTAGGGTTTAAAGTATTTTCGGGTTTGTACAGAGACAGACAAGTCACACACATGTAGGAGGGGGTCGTGTTGGCTCATACTTAGTATTTTGCCCTTTGAGAGAAGGGTGAGGCTTGATGTACGGTCTGCTGCTGGTGAACACACTAGCAGCCTTCCTCCTCGTCCTCTTCTTCAGCTTCCTGCTGAACACATTCTGCCATGACTGCAGAGTTTTAGAGGTCCAGATCCACATTCCACTGGTGATGCCCACCACCAGCAGCATGAAGATCTTCACCATGAAGATTTCAACGGCGGGGATCGACGCCTTCATAACACACTCGTCCGACTCCGGCCCGCTGCTGTCCACACACCTCTGCTCCCCGGCCAGGATGCGCCAGTAGTCCATGTTGAGCCTCTCGTAGAAGTAGCAGGCGATGACGCAGGTGGCTGGGACAGTGTACAGCACGGAGAAGACCCCGATGCGAACCATCAGTTTCTCGAGTTTGTCTGTGTTCTCCCCTTCTGTTTTCATAATCTTCCGAATGTGGAAGAGAGCCACGAAGCCAGACAATAGGAACGAAGTGCCAATAATGAGGTAGCACGAGAGGGGAATGAGAACGAAGCCCGTAAGAGCTTTGACATCCATGCTGCCCACGTAGCAGACTCCCGTTAGCTCATCCCCGGCCACCTTTCTCATCACCAGGATCATGATGGTCTTGACCGCTGGGATGGCCCAGGCAGCCAGGTGAAAGTAGCTGCTGTTCGCCTCGATAGCCTCATGACCCCACTTCTTCCCAGCAGCTAGAAACCACGTCAGGGTCAAGATAACCCACCAGAGGGAACTGGCCATGCCAAAATAATACAGGATGAGGAACACAATAGTGCAGCCTGTGCTCTCCAGACCCTCCTGGATGATATACTGGACCCCATTGTCTTTGTCACATGCTATTCTGTCAGCTCCCACAAAAAGTCGAACGAGGTAGCCTACAGAGTAAACACAATAAGACATGGAGAGGAAGATGATTGGCCTCTCAGGGTATTTGAATCGCTGAGGATCGATGAGGAAAGTGAGCACGGTGAAGGCACTGGAGACAAAACACAAGATGGACCAGATGGCCATCCACACCAGGGAGAACTGCTTGTCACCCTGGCTCCAGTATACATCCACTTTAGAGTAGCATTTCGGGGCACAGGACTCGCTCTTCTCCACAAAGTGGAACTTGCCGGGGTTGCTGCACATCTGCTTGCTGCCAGTGTCCTTCAGGTGCAAGTCCTGTCCACTCAGAGGACGCTGCGGCCGGAAATCCGGAGACTGGGTGTGGGAGACTTTAGGAGGCTCGTCTGAGCCGTTGTTGGGGGCCTCCATGCACAGGTTGTTCGGGTCGTTTTTGGTGGGAAGGCGTGAGCAGTCCAGGGACTTGGGCCAGGGGAAATTAAATTGCTCCATGATGGGTGAGCACTTCAGTTTGACCTGCTCACACATAACCCTGCACGCCGGAATGGGGTTGGACACCTGCTCGGTACACATGGGAGCGTACAGAGAGCAGAGGAAAAACTTGAGGTGAACGTGGCATCCAAACTGTATCAGGGTCGAGAACTCCTGCAGTTCTATAGCTGCGCTTTTTTGATCATCATGGCCCATCATATTTGGCATACGGGTCATGTTGTAGCCAATGTCTTTACACTGGGGGATAGTGATGTGTTGACATCTCCCCTCTCCTGACCAGTCAGGGTCGATGGAGCTGATGGCTGAACCCCCACTGCTCCACAGAAGCAGAAGCACGGAGCACAAGTTCAGTTTTACAGCTGCACACATTGTCTTCATATAGATATATTTTTGGAAAATAAGAAAAAAATCGTCAAGTGTTCAGCGCAGCAATGGAGAAGTTTCTTTCATTCACGCGTCAGTGATGCGACCGGGTGGTTAAACTGGGTACGGCAAAACTTACTCAACTATCTGTTGCCAGACCATTGTTTCCTCAGCTCATTGGGCAGATTTCAATAAAAAGAAAACGTTTCCTCCCTGGAGGAGCGCTGTCAGGTCCATGCTCTCAGGCGCTCAGTTTGAGGCAGAAGTGCTGGAGCCGCTTCTCTCCCGCACGGAAATGTCCTGCGTCCCGTTTAGTTTCCCTTTAGTTTCCCAAAGACCCGCAGCTCCGTTTTCACGTTTCATGATAGTTGTCCGAATCGCTTTGTTTTGTACCCAGCGCGATTTCAGTCCTTGAGCCAGAACTTCACAGAAAAAGAAAAAGAAAAAAGAAAATTCCGCCAATCCTTTATCCCGACCTTGATGGTTTTACGCAAAGCGCTAAAAACAGTTCAGCTAAAGAATTGAAAATAATATCCTCGGTGATTTTGAGAAGTGTCTCCCAGAAATGTGAGATTTCGCTCCTCCCAGGGGCACGAAGTTGGTGAGTCTGGTGGCAGTACTCGTCTGAGCTGGTCGGAGCCTCCGTCCCAGTCTAACCTGCCAAAAGATCCGCCTTCAAAGAGCGCTACTTTGCATAAGAAAGATGACACTGACACGCGGATTATTTTCAAATCGTGCGGAACAGCTTGCTCATTACAGCAGTTTCAAAGGCTCACAGCAAACTTCCTTCGTCCTTTTTGTTTGTGCTCAGACGCAAACTTCGGCGATTAAAGGACAGAAACGCGTTTAAGGCGAATACCAAGAATGTTGCGCAACATAGCTCCGGGCGCACGGGGGTCAGGGACGCATCATAAGCAATTCTTTAATCGTGACTGAGGTTTTAACTGTGCGCAGGCAGAGTTGGTAAATGCTGTTTTGTCTTGATTATTTAACAGCTGAATTTATTTTTGGCTCACTAAAGAACTTGGAGCATCCTGCTTCCATGTGATGGACAAAAAGGTGCAAGATTGTCCTGTCATAGCAGAACCTGCATATATCTGAAACTAAATGTACTTGTTAGAGAAACATGAACATTATTGAAGATGTGACCTTAGTATCTATACTGAAATGGGATTAGTATGGTGCAAATGCCCCCCAAAAAAGTTCGATACAGAATCCATGGACAGTTATACAGTGTCATGTGCCTGTTCTTAATGCTTGACCAGCGTTCTTAGCTTTATCTTGTTTTGACACCACCTCTCAACCACATTTAAATAAGGATTCAAACGGACTGAAATGTGATGATGGAAAAACAGATCCTCTGATATCACTCTAAAAAAAGAAAAAAGAAAAGCTTTGATGGGTTAACATGTTGCCTTACATGGTGAATTAAATATTGAGAGTTGATTTGCAAGTTAATATATATTTTGGATGGTTGTCTTTTAGTGAAATATTTAGTTTATGACATCTTAAGTATGTTCAGTCTTGTGGAAAGTATTTTAAAAAGTGGCTGCAGAAAGCTATGTGGCTCTATTGTGTTGACAAAAAGAGGCTATTGGATTTATTAGTAAGTGTCAAATGTAAAAGTTGGTTGGGTGACATTTTGAAGGACAAAAGAAACCGTTCATGGAGAAAAATAATGAAATTTAAAACTATATCCAGTTATGATCTTGAATCAAATTTGGCAACACATATATTAGTGTCTTCTCTCAATATTCTCATTGCAAATGTTAATAAAAACTTGAGGACATTTCAGTATTGTTGTCATTTGAAGTATTAATGTTAGTATTAATCATATTTTATGTTTTGTTATAATCCATCATCTAGTTGTGCAACACTTAATTAATAGATAAGCACTCGTGCAATAAATGAGCAATAAATTCCTTTTTCTGTGATATTCTAGTAATTGCTTGAGCATTAATCATTGACTCTAATAAATGAAAAATGAATCAGATAATTGCATTCAACAGCATTGCAGTTACAATTGCTCTAATGGAGACAACAAATGCACCAACAAGTGGCCACTCTGGGTAGAGCTGATTTTTGTCCTGTCCTTCCTCTTACGTAAATCTGGATGCCAGCCATTAAGTCAAAAGACTCCTGTGTCTGTGTTGATAGATGTAATTTTACATGTAGGTCGGGCGACTAGACGAGAACATTATTACCACGAATACTGTGTGTTGTCCCTTCTGTGTATCCTCCCTCTGACACAGAACAGGCACAGCCCCTTGTTAATACATTGGATTTAGTGGGGAAGATGAATGGATGGATACAACAATATAAAAAACACAAACCATTATCAAATAAAACAGGTCATAACATATCAGAAGCATAATGAAAAGTGTAGGGGAAGTTTTATGATGCATTGATGTTACACCCCAAGAATTCCAGTCTACTACTAGTCTACTAGTTCTACTGCTATTCTGATCATGTCAGGGCAGAAGGCCAGTGTCTGAGGGAAGAACATTTTATGGTGCTTTGTGCCTGTTTTATGTATATGACTGTGAGATCCTGGCTTCTCTCATGTTACCTTGTAAAATATTTGTAGTTGCAAGATTTATACCTAGGCCTGGCTATGGACTCCATCAAGGACAAACTACTGATCATACATAAACTGGAGTGCTTTTAGTGCATTTTTACAAGACACACTAAAATGCTTTGAGAAGTATTTCAGAAATGTGCTCGGGCAAGATGAGAAACCTGGCACCAGCGTGCCTAAATGGTTTAAGCACAGCATATCTCGCTGGTGGCACTTCAGCTGTTAGTGCTCAGTGTGTGGAGCAGAAGAATAAATATAGGGTATGAATACAGTTATGAGCACAATACACTCTGTCTATGCGGCATATGCCCTCCTCAGGTTTCAAATATCCAGCTGTTAACACTGGAGAAGGATTGGTCTGGACACGACGAAGAATAGAATAACATAAGATTAAACAATCACTCTTTGGATGGTTTTTTGCTAGTGCGTCTGCATATTAGGAGCTTTCAGCCACTTAGCTGTTGGAGCTCACCGGTTGAAATCAGTCTTGTGAGAGATGCATAATGTGACACGAAGTGTGTTCCATGTGAAAAAACCCAGACACAGGGACAGCATGTGTTTTATATACACAGGCCCGTCACAAAGATAAGGACAACAGCTGACATGCCTGCTCCATCCCTCCAGCTCCACCAGACTTTTATTGTTTGGTTGACATCTAGAAGCAGAACAAAAAGAAATAACTGCTTTAATGTGAAGAAGAACAATGCAATATCAATGCATCCCCGTGACCAGGGTCAGTTCTACTTACCATTTACTGATCATCTGGCTTCCAGGAAGCCTTTTTCTAGCATGTTGAAAAGCTTATATGTGCCCTTATCACTTCATTTGGTTTACTGAAGCTGGCAACATAGCATCTAATAAGAAGGCGATGTCTTTTAGCTTGTTGTATAATTGCCTTTCTTCTGATTTCATTCATGTCTTCCCTCTTGCCTCCTTCTCTGTCATCATTGTTTTGCTGGTCATGATGATATCTCTTTGAAAATGAGAAGAAAAGAGGAGAAATCAGGCATGTTCAGTCTTTAGTATCTGTAGCCTCAGCGGCTACTGCTGTCGCTTTTATGATTTTTTTTTCCCCCCAGCATGCTCTTTTTCATATACCCCCTCCTACAGCTCATTCCTGCTTGCACACATGCAAAACACGCACACACACCCTCTCTGCACACACAGCAACTTTATCTCATCTTTGCAACCACAACAGTGCGACAAAGAAAAGCAGCGCGGCTCCATCTCTGAGAAATCAGCAACTGTGAGATAATTCTGTTACTAATAAAGTGAAAGGGGGAGCACTTTGATGGCTGAAGCTGAAAAGATATTTCATTTTATATATTTTTTTGTGTGTGTGGGATTTGTGATGTGTGATTGTATGGTGCTGGCTCGCTCCCCTGCTGCTAGGCTCTGGCTGGAAGCTGGCCCCCCTCTGGCTAATGTTATGGAGAATTGGAGGAATTTTATGGCTGTCTTTTCCTTCAGCCCTTTTTTTCTTTTGTTCCCCTTTGAAGAATGACTTTAGACATTTTATTTACATATTTAACCATGGATGAAAGAAAAATAGGGCGTGGAAGTAAAGCTTTTTGGTTTCTTAAGGGAGTATTGATCATTAGAATTAGTTGAAGCAAATACATTTTTGTTTGCTTTGCCTGAAATGAGATCAAACCTGTCACTGTGATGGTGACATTTCAGACATTTTGAAACTGAAGCTATCATTTATTTCACACTAGATCTGTTCGCACCAACTCAGCGTCAGTGGGGCTAATCTTAGTGTTTCTGTTAGTTGCTGTGGTTGGATGGCATGCTCAGTGTTCCAACATGTGAGGTATGGTATGGCAGAGATGGGGGACGTTTTAGACATGTTTGGCATTGTTGCCGGCGCTGAAAGGGCATGTTGATTAAACGTACGGGTGGGGTAGGCCTATAATCTTCTTAACCAAGGCCCTCCTCTACTCTTTCAGAGGGCACAATGAGAAGAAACAACACACTCAGCTGGAGGTTAGACTATTTGTCCACATGCCCTGCACATTGTTCAAAAATCCTGATCTCCCTCCTGATCGCACGCATTCTGCGTTTAGCTCAGGATGATCCTATTTATCAACATAATCTGTTATTTTCTCTCTTATTGCATCCCAGCAGTGTCTGAAGAAGTTGGTGCCAAAAAAAAAACACTTTATAGAGGAGGTAAACTATGAAGTAGCAATATGGCAAAACGGCACAAAGAGGTTTTGCATGTAAAATAAATAAATAAAGATAAGTAAATCAACAAAAATGAAATCAAATAAAT